TTAATTGTAGCATTCCTACAACTGGCTGTATCTCTTTTCTTAGAAAAAAAATGGTTGTAGATGTAATGGTATATGGGAATATTGGGGGACAGGGCGAAGAGACGCAGCTAAAGGAACAGTCAGATAAAAGGCAACGTAGCCGGCAGCAGGAATGTGGGTGGGGCAAGAGGCTCAGAAGGGACCCTCCCTAGTTTCTTGGGCTGTAAAGGGGACTCGGGGAGAAATGTACTTTCAGACTTGCAAGATTCTTACAATAAAGTAGAATAGGTCATCTGGCCATGTTTCCTGTCTGGTCTACGTTGCAAGGCTGATAGTAGGTAATTTTCCCTTTGAAAAAGGGGCACAGCCAACTGCAGCAGCATTGATTAAAAGCATGCACTTCCATACTAGTTCTATTAATTTATATCAGTCCAACAAAAATGCCTGCAAAGTCCCTGGTGATTTTTGGGTTGTTATTAGTGTGGTTTTGTATGGGTGTTCATTTTTTTTTTAATATATACGTTACATATTCTTTAAAAAGCCACTCCATTTTGGAGACAGGCAGCCTTGAAATCTAAGAAATCAATAAAATTCCAAACTGAAATAGAACGAAAAGGAGAAGGGGGGGGGAAGGGAGAAAGAGAGGTTAGTGGGTTAAAAAGGCCTGGAAAATGTTGTGTGATTTGACTCTCTTGGATCTTTTTTCCCATATGTTCCTTCCTATAAGATCCAAGATGCTGCTCCTGTGTAAGTGTGCTGACCTCTGGGAGCCAGTACAGAAAATACAGGGGCAGGGCCACTCTTAATTAAAGGTATAACCTAGAATGGCTCACTAAGGCCCACTAACACCCAGTTTTAGAACAATGGAAAAAGCAGTAGTGTTTCCAGTACATATTAATGCAGATTGAGTAGGTTGTTTTTTACGTACTTTAATTTTAATAGCATAAGTGCTTTTATAGTAGCTTTAATTCCTATCCTTCTGGTATTTTAATGTGTCATTTATACAAACACTTTTACTTTAAGCTGCCTGTAGGGCCATAAAGCTGGAATGTCGTACATAAAAGAAATGACATGGTTTTGTTTCTAGGTGAATGCAATCACTGCTACTCTCTTCACCTCCCAAATCCTTGAAAAAAGAGCCGAGAAAGACATGGAAGTTCAACTGAATTCTGATCCTACTAATGGAGACCAGGTTTATGACTGGAGTACAGGCTTGGAGCATACAGATGATTCCCACCTTTATTTTTCACCAGATCAGGGGAATGTAGTATTTGCCAGTGCAATTGATGGCTGGGGCTTTGGGTGAGTTTATATTTAATTTAATTTAATTTAATTTATTCGACTTGATAGTTGCCTGCCATTCCAGAAGTCTCTAGGTGGCTTACAAAATCCGCAAAAAACAGTAAAACAGTTAAAACCCACATAAACAGGCAACCTGGATTAAAAGTACTAGAAAACAAATGGTACAAATAATACAAAAATATGACATTAACCCCAGGCCTGGGACCAGAGCCAGCTCTTAAGGGCTTTCTGGAACCCTGGGAGAGTGGGCACTGTCTGCATCTCTGGGAGAATGCCATTGCAGAGGGCTGGGACAATGGCAGAGTTACATGGTTAGCAAAGCTTGATCAGATCATTTCATTCAGGTTGCTGAACTATGTAGTTATGCACTTATATAGCTAAGTATATGAACATGCAGCATCTGAAGCAGGGTTCCTCAACCTCAGCAACTTTAAGATGGGTGGACTTCAACTCCCAGAATTCCCCACGCCACGCATGGCTGGCTGGGGAAGTTCTGGGAGGT